AAGCAATTTCGGATTGTGTACTCATTTTTCAATGACAAGTAAAAAATCTCTCAGTTTAAGCCTCTAATGCATGATGGGTACTTTAGCTTTACTGAAAATGCAACAATAACAACTGTTTGGCTTCATTTAGCTTCATTTAGCATCCTGCTGTTATCAGGCTAACATTTTTCTAAGGGAACATTCACATTCATCCTTCATATTGTGTCTGTCCTGTGCTCGCACTCCATTTCACCCTCTTCTTTCATTCTTCATCTCCGAAGGGGGCTGTTACATTGATTTGAGGTCAAACTGACAAAAGATGAACTGTGGAACAACAAGCCTCACAGTCCCCTAAAGTAATAAGATAAAAAACTCAATTGGTACAGTGCATTCTGAGACAGAATCTTCTCACCTGTTTCTGTACTGTGAAAACATAGTGTGTGTCACGCCCCTGGACTCATTGTGTTGTGTTTTCCCTCCCCAGGTGTGCCGTGTCTCAGTTAATTAGTCATTCCATACACCTGTGTTCCCCTAATTGCCCAGTGTTTATTAGCCCCAGTCTGTGCTGTCTGTCTTTGTCTGAGATTGAACGTCAAACCCTGTGTTTCCTGTGTTCCTGTCTGCCCCGAGTATTCCCTTGGATATTTGAATTAAAATACTTTTGTGAGTTTAATGCCTTGTCTCCTCGCTCCGTGCCATAGGCGAACCATGACAGTGTGTCAAGCAGTGCACACATTTGCTGTGTTATTGTGTGCACTTATTTATAGTCACATCACAATCAAGTTCAGGAGTATGACGCAAGTCTCTCAACACCTTGAGAGGTAGACCCATGAGACAAAAGAACATTAAGGTCATACTTGTCTCTATAAATGAAGAAAGTTTTGATGATGACGCCTGAAATATCAAAAGCATTATCAGTGAGGCAAACTAGGTGTTAGTCTTGTTAGGCAACAGCCCATTAAAATGCTAATTGAAGGCAACAAGACCGTGCCGGTTTGAAAGTGAAATTATATAATGTTAATATACCAATCTAGAACTACAAAAAAAAAAAGAAATGGTTTGTACCATAAAATGTACTGATGTGCACCATGATAATACAGGTGATAAAAATGAAAGCCACATGAGGAATCAGAGCTGAAGTGGCCTGTCCATAAAACATTTCCAACTCTCATTTAATATGATTTTGTACAATTTGATTTGTATGAAATGTATGAAGGTTGTATTAATGTTGTATGAAGGTTCACTCCCATAACCTCACCCCTAAACCTACCCTTTAGCACAGTGAGCAAATTGTCGGAAAACGTATGAATGAGATCATATAAATTTATAAGAATTTATACTTGTTGTAGTTTCTAAACTGATTAGAAGTGTTAAAGGGTTAGTTCACCCAAAAATTAAAATTAGCCCATAAATTACTCACCCTCAAGTCATCCTAGGTGTATATGACTTTCTTCTTTCAGACGAATCCAGTCGGAGTTATATTAAAAATTGTCGTTGATCTTTCAAGCTGTTTCATGGCACTCAGCGGGTGTTGCATGCTTCAGTCCAAAACAAGTTAAATAAAAAGCGCCCATCCATAAAAAGTGCCTCACACGGCTCCGGGGGGTGAACAAAGGCCTTCTGTAGCGAATCGATGTGTTTTTGTAAGAAAAATATCCATATTCAAAACGTAATAATCACTTTAATGTAGCTTGCGCTCACTGTTGCACACGGAAGCAGTTCCGGGGGAATGACTTATGAGGTCAGCGCTGTGCATGCGCCGCTCAGAAGTGACGCACGCGGAAATGCAGCGGAGAGATCAAA